TCCAAGAAAGGAGATTCCATATGAACATTAGGAAGAACATTCTGACTGTGGGTGCTGTTCAGCAGTGGAACTCTCTGCCCCAGAGTGTGGTGGAGACCTCTTCTTTGGAGGCTTTTAAGCAGAGGCTGGATGGCCATCTGTCGGGGGTGCTTTGAATGCAATTTTCCTGCTACTTGGCAGAATAGGGTTGGACTCCACTGTAGGAGAACATGTAGGTAAAGAATAGGGCTTCACAGTCAGCTATGTACCCAGCGCCAGCACACCCAACTTGGAAGACAATCTTACTCGGCCAATGAGGTATTGCCTAAGTAAAGTAAGTAAGTATAAGTCAACAGCAAGCTAGACTATTAATGGTTGGGAGCTCACTCCGACCTGGGCTGGCTTCGAACTAATGACCTCTTGTCAGTAGTGATTTAATGCAGTTGGCTACTAACTAGCTGCGCCACACCCCGTGGTCATTCTCCATTTTTTTGCACTCCAGGTCCAGAAGAAGCCCTCTGACTTAAAACACACCACACGAAGAGTGAAGAATCAAATCTTCTTTTATTAAAGCTTAGTAAATAGCCAGAAGAAATAAATGCTTGTAAGAAAATCAGAAGGTTCCAAAAAGTACTAGTCCATAAACAGTAGTAACCCAAAGCAACGTCCACACAAGAAATACAGGCAATCCAAGACAGCATTAATCCAAACAGAAATCAAGCAGGATACAAAAACAATTCAAAAGGCTAAAAAACTCCACCGAAACACGATCCCTTGAACAAGACTTCCATGGCACAAAAACTTGGTTTCCAAATGATGCCTGATCTGAGAAGATTTTCTACAGGCAAACCTTAAATCCCAAAAATTGGTTTCTTTTCCCCCCAGTCTTTGACTTTATTTGACGAATTCTTTTGGATCTACGTAAACATTGGACCTATTGTTGATTCTGGGTAATCTCCAACCACCGACTCTGCTTATCTGACTCCTCATTAACTTTATCAGGTGTCAGACTGTTTCCCAAACTAGAATCTGGAGA